CCCCCCCCCCCCCCCCATCCCTATATATTAAGGCAAAGAGAAGGTGAAAAAAGCAGCCAGTTTTGGGGTTGGCTAGAAAATTGTGCGCCATTCACTTTTACCGATATATGATTAGCAGTAAACCAATCAGTTGTGAGTTGCTTGTCACATGCATTGCGTGTTTCCTCGCGCGTGTTTGCGTGTTTCCTCGCACGTCTTGCCGACTTGTACGAGAATAATTTAAACAACATCGCATTCTTTTTTTTAGCACTTTTCAAGGGCTATAGATTTTTAACAATTAATGAATGAGGTCGAGTATCTTATGAAGAATTATGTAGATTGAGGGGGGTGTTATCCGTCGAGGCCGTAGGCCGAGGCGGAGAACACACTCCGAGATCTCCATAATTCTTCATATGATACGAAAGCCGAATTCAATAATTGTTTTATTATTCATTCAAAATAATTCCTAGTTTAAAAACATGGCTAACACATGCTTACCTCCATTGCCAGTGTTAAGTATATCTTCGATAGTGCACGTTTAGGGTTGTTCAGCTCCACAAATATTTTCCAAATAGCAGATGCCGCCTATCGAATTGTCTTCTTGCTGTTCTTGCCATGTGCTTAGTTTTTTTTTACTAGTTCTTACTCTTGAAACAAGTGAAATGTCCGCCATTTTTCAAGTTCACAACCAAAAAAACTTAACCTCGTCCCCAGGTCTTCTCGGTTAACGGTTCATTAACCTGCGCTGCATTTTTGACGTCATTTCCTCGCTAAACACAAAATTCTTCCAAATTTGGTCATAAGTAACTGGTTATGGTGAATTAAACGTGTGATTTTAGCCTATCAGATCGGGGAAATATTTTGAATGAATAATAATCAATGTAAAGAATCTCCTTTTCTGAGAACTATCTTTAACGACTGTGGCTTTCCTTGGGTACTGAATCTCGTCACTATGTCTTTGACCGATATTTTTGCTGAACCGATGCTAGACAGCAACACCTATTTGGAGAAATACAAACAGCAGCTAATTGAGCTTAACAAAAAAGGACTTCTGCCAAAACTTGACAAAACCCTGACCTATAAAGTCTACTCAATTCGCGGAAGGGATTTCGGAGCACACAAATCGATCGTTCTTACCACAAATGATCAACATTTCTTAACAGTAGAGCTGGGTTTCATAGTTGTCGACGGTAAGAAGCATATCTACCCGGTAACTAGGCCTCTTGACTCGTCAAGTAAGTCGAAAATGGAGTACCTCGGTACAATTAACGCCAAGGGAGAGGATTTGATTGCAAAGGCTGTGGCTGTGATGAAACGGTTTGGCAGCTACTTCAAGTTTTGTAACAACTGCCAAAACTTCTGCAACATGTACGTGGAGGCAATTGGTTTAAAGGAAGGTAAAAGTTTGACCGATGGCGACAAGGTTGCAATAGCAGCAGTACTTGCGGGAATAATCGCGTTTTTGTTCGCCATGTTGAAATGAGGCGAAAAACACAGTGAAACACATGACATTGCCTTAGTTTGTTCAGTAGTAATTTGACTGACTTGTTTATTTGATTCATTTCTGTAATAATTGTTTTTGTCCGGTCATTTTTGGCCCATACAACTCCACGTAGTATCAAAAAAGATTTCACGTAACTTATATATTACAAGATCTTCGAGTTCCGCCAAATATGAACTGTATTCTAGTGTCATGAATTGTGAAAGTGAAAGCGGAAGACTGATCATCAGACTTATAAAAACAAGTTCGGAGGCAAAGGTTATTAATTATTCAGGAATTATGGTATTTACAATAGTCATCTTACTTTACTCGTTATGTTTCTCTTTCTTTGATTCTTCTTCTTTTCCATTTAACAGTCTACTGTGAGTGCACGCACTTCCTTGCATAATAGACTACCCTAAAGAAACAGATATACTTCGTTTTAAACCGGAAGTACATCTAATTTCACTTGACTCTAAGTCAAGATTTCAGAGTTCCTGAAGCCTGAAAATGTACCCCTTTTAGAGAAGCATCTCCAAAGAGGTCATTATAGGGAGTACCCTTCAAATCGCACCCTGAGTTCGAATTCTAACTCAAGGTGTGATTTCACATGACGTGACTGTTTCGTCCCCAAGGCTTTTATTTTGTCCCTAGCTCCCTTCCGTTTTTCGGACAAAAATCCCACGGCCACAGGCTAGTACACAGGCTACAATCAGGGACAAAAGTAGTTGACACACTTGTTTAAAACGGGTGCTTTTAGCAAACATTTAATTCATCTATTATTTCATTCTTTTTAAACGCCGTAAATCCCCTCACCCCCCGAATCAATGTTGTCAATTAGCATTGCTTATCACCGCCAGTCTTGAATCATTTGAAACCTAATGAGATCATTTTCTTCCTTATAATGTCGATTTATATAATTGGATTCATTTTTGATTATATCAAACTCCCGCCCGTTTACTTCCACTGTACCGGCAGGAACTGAGCTTGGTGAATCACTGAAAATGAGTAAAAGAGAAAAGCTGCACACTCAGGGACCCTTAACAACAATTTTTGACGTTTTAACCTAACCTGGCCTGACCAGGAGTGTGGGCGAATCAATCAGGGGTCCAACCGGTCTTGTTCCAAAGCTGTGCTTTGCGCAAATCTCACAAGATAGAAGGCTAAAAGTACTAGAAGGTCCAAACGTAGGTAATAAGATTGCGTGTTAGGCTTTTCGTTCATTCTTGGTAATAGTCTCTGCTGGTTACTAACGTGTCGCGCACGCACATGCTTTATAGAAAGCTAGAGATTAGGATTGTGGGCTCCTCTGGTCGCCCGCAATATACAACATATACCAGTGAATAAAACGGTGAATGAAACGTACCTTGCCAATAGGCTTTTGTATGTGTCTTGGAGCAAAAGTACGTCCACTCCCAATAATTGCATCCAGACACTACACCAGCTTGTGTTGCCTTTGCTAACCGCTTGTAGCCTGTACCACATGCATGATTCGGGTTCCCATATCTTTTACTAAGACACCTTGACCAATACTCATCCGGTTCCTCGTAACCGCCCCCCTCTGCGTTAACAGTGCTCAACGCCAAAACGCACAAAGACAATATGATGAACAGCTTCATGATCATTGCCGAAATGTCTGACAAAAAAGAAACCCATTTTAACTTTCGTTATCGATTATTTATTTATTTTATTTTATTTGCCACAAAATGATTACAAAAAATATAAGCCAAAGAAAAGTAGAAAAAAAAAAAGAAGTGGCGAGGAGACCTTGCAGAAACCGTAGGAACTTATCAGAGGTTAGGCCTCCTCGAAGTACGGGCTAAGGCTGTTTAACATGAATCGAAGAAAAGATGACGAAAAGTCGAAGATGGAGGATTTATGAACTGTTTTCATATCTACTCAATAATTTAATCTTCAGTATTTTCTTAAAAGAGGAAAGAGATTAGGAGTTGATGACCTTGTTGTCAAGTGAATTAAAAAACGTAGGTCCTTGAAAAAAGGGCGAGGACTTCTTAGTGTTTGTTCGACAATATTATAGACGATAGGCCTGGAAATTTCTTGTATTGTAAGAGTGGAATTGATTTGTTAAGCTTAATTGAGCAAGGGTCTCCCAAATTTTGCTTTTCTTTGTTAACACCGTCAAATGCGAGAGAATATTTGACATTTGGTTTTCAGCCCCAAATTTTTATTGCCATTTAAAGTGTGAGTGCACATAGTAACGTGTCTGACATTGTAATCTGAGATTTAGAGTTCAAAAAGCGCTCATTAACTCAGCGAGAAAATATATGTTAGCATGTTCTAAGTGAGCACAGTCCTTCGAAAACTTTTTAGCGGATGGCGCTCAAACAAACTTGAAAAAAAGTTTTGGAAGAGTTTCTTGACATATCAACGCTGGAGAATTTTCTTAAAGGTCGCTTGTCAATTCATCTTGAACACACAATGTTACTATACAATATTATAAAAGCTTATACCGTCACGGAATTTAAAGATTTGTTTTTATAGTGGAATTCAAGCCGCAGAAGAAATGAGAACATCATGCTTCCAAGACCAGAAATGAATTTTATCAGAAACTCCATAAGCTATAGAGGAGCAATTGCATGGAACAGTTTAACGTACCAGGAGACAAGGGCTAAAACCTTCAAAGAATTAAAACGCTGTCTTGCAAAATTCGATACTGATAAAATGAATTTCGAAACTTTTTTAGCCACAACTAAAAACAAAGATAACGGTTACAAATATTTCTAGCAGTTTAAATTTTCAATTGTACATTTACACAACCCTGATTTTAGTTACAACTATCGGTTATAAACATTTTTAACGGTTTTTAATTTTTAATTGTACATGTGCTTTCAGTACTCCTTATTTTTCTTGAAATTGTCTTTTGCACGGCCCCACCAGCTATGCTGATATTTTTATCGTTCTAAAAATCGGAAAATAACGGTAGCAAAATTTTTCGTCCCGTCCTAGGAGATTTTTACTCTTTTGATAAGTAAAACAAGAAATATAAAGAACTAAATACTATTGATAATTACGATGCCTTCACTGACTAAAATCTCCGGTACCAGTTTAACGCTTCTCACGTTGCTCATCAGGGGGCTTGGCTACCTTTTCGCAAGCACGCAGTGCAAAGAACGTACGTTTGTCGCCATGAAAGCAAACTAATTAAATGCGTTCTTTCCTAAATGATAAAAGTACTTGGAAATGGTGGCAAGTTCGTTTCTATTTTTAAAGAACGTCCTCTTGGTGTTTTTATTCGCATTCACTTTTAAAATGAAAACATACTTAATATATTCTTCCCTACTTTTGAGACTCGGCTGAAATGTTTTAATGCCCCTGCTGGGTAACGCTAAGTGCTACTAAATTGGAAACTGATTTTCAACGATAAGTTTCTTTTAAAAGACCCAATAGTCTTCGCTTTGTATTTTTACAAAAAACAGCAAATTTGTTTTCTCCAATACAAGAGAAAAAGATCGTTGAAATTAAATGCTTTGCCGATTTTACCCTCCTTCACCGGACAAAAAAGATGATTGCTTTCACGTCTTTTTTAATTTCTTTTTTTTTTTTTAATGTTTTACGAGTCAGAGTGTTCCTTGATTTTTCTTAAGATCAAAATCGATTTAAGTTTTCTTCTTTCTTTTTCAGCTAAGAATGTTAATTAGTTATGTTTTTCGGATTATCAATGTACGTCAAACAAAGTAAAACAACTCACAAAATTAACAATGAAAACAGAAGGGATCAGTAGAACTTTTGTCTCTTCATTATTTTCATATATAAAAAAATTTAAGTATAACACTAGTAGTGTTATTAAAATTGATTCAAAAATAAGATACAAAGGAAAAGAAATGGTCAATTTAAAACACTTACCTCAATTAAGTACGCTTTTCAAATCTTTGAAGATCACTTGGACGCGATACGTGACAATTCAAAACAGCTGAGACGGTTAAATATATTGGGTCAATGGATGAAACCCGCTCTGTTAAAATGACATCAGGAAACAGGTGGAGTCATGGATCATTAACCAATAAGAAGGAGGTTAGTGAAGATATCAGGTACCAGGGGGGTGGTATTATACATGGTTGAAAGAAAAGCCCATTAATAAAGTAGAACATAGATGGTTCTTTTTCACCGGTTATAGGTGTTTTTTTAAAGTAATTAAACGTTTTATCCGTTTGTAATGACTTTTTCGAGGGTGAGAAACTCAGAAAATCGCCAATTGTCAGAAATATTCTACATTGATTTCAATATTGGGGCATGTGTTTCAAGGAAAAGGGCAGTTATGGAGGAAAGGCACTGGATATAATGTAGGGCGTTTTTTTGTAACAATAAGTTTCTTTTAAAAGACCCAATAGTCATTGCTTAGTATTTTTACAAAAAATTTAAACAGCAAATTTTTTTTCACCAATACGAGAGAAAAAGATCGTTGAAATTAAATGCTAACGGTTAAAAATATTTCTAGCAGTTTTAATTTTCAAATGTACATTTACACAACCCTGATGTTAGTTACAACTATCGGTTACAATCATTTTTAACAGTTTTTAATTTTTAATTGTACATGTGCTTTCAGTACTCCTTATTTTTCTTGAAATTACTGTTTGCACGACCCCACCAGCTATGCTGATATTTTTATCGCGCTAAAATAAAGTTCTTATCTATCTATCTATCTATCTATCTATCTATCTATCTATCTATCTATCTATCTATCTATCTATCTATCTATCTACTTGATGTCCAATAAAGGCCTAAATCCATCAAAAATCGGAAAATAACGGTAGCAAAATTTTTCGACCCGTCCTAGGAGATTTTTACTCTTTTGATAAGTAAAACAAGAAATATAAAGAACGAAATACTACTAATAATTACGATGCCTTTACTGACTAAAATCTCAGGTACCAGTTTAACGCTTCTCACGTTGCTCATCAGGGGGCTCGGCTAACTTTTCGCAAGCACGCAGAGCAAAGAACGCAGAAAATCGCGAGTTGTCAGAAATATTCTATATTGGTTTC